CTATCGAATCTGAAATATATCAAAACTTGTATTGATTTGCATCGTTGCTCGCCAGCAGTGAATTTTCGACAGCAGAGAAACAAAAACATTTGCGAATGCTGGACACAAAATACAGTATTAATAACTCATGAAGGAAATTCAAAAGAAATGAATGTTTAATCAATGTATGTAAATCGATCGGATAATAGATTTGTAAATTGTCGTCATTTACATAAACTTCAGCTTCGATTTTCTCGGCTTAGACAATGTTTATTTTTAAAATTACTTCGCCAATGAACTCATATGATGGGTCGTCTTTTAAGCACGTTAAAACACGAGCAGCCGATGTTTATCTGATATACAAACTCTCGCCATTGTCCCCAATTTTAATAATATATTCTAATGTGACCCGCTTGAACTAATTCAGTAGTAGATCAAATATAAATCAACGGTAAATCCGAAAATAATAAAAAAAAATTATTTTCTGCAGTATATTATATTATATTTGTTGTTCTACAGTATATTATATTAAAATACTCAGTGGTTCCCGTAATAGTATGTCTCATTTTCTTTCCGGTTTGTTCCTAGCAACATCAAATGTTCCTAGCAACAGTCAACCAGCATCAGTGGATAATAGTTCGGCCGTTTCACTCCCCTCTTTATTTTTTATTATTTCTCCGCCTTATTTTAAATTTCGGATCTTTCTCGGCCGCCCTTCGGAGTATCATCGTGTAACATAAATTAATGTCAAAGATAAACATAAATTATTGCGCCTGCGATAAGCTAATAATATATACCGCTTTCAACATTTAAAATGGCGCCCGATGAAAATTGAAAACATTTACATGTAATTAAAAGTTAGTATAAATTTACACAAATATTTCTGGCGTGCTCCCTTGCAGTAAGTAGAATAGAATAGAATACAATACAATACAATACATAAACTACTTATCTGTCTTTGCTATGGGTAGCCTGCTCGAATACGTAATAAATTTCGATATTTCAGTCTGCATGGCCATGGGCGTAGAAAGATCGATAATTGGGGCGGGGGGGAGCTCATATTCATATATTCGTGTTCTGCATCATTCACTTCTTTTGAAATTGATTGTTTTTACAGTCTGCGAACACTATTAATATTTGAATATGAGCTCCTCCCCCCCCCAAAAAAATATATCGCTCTTCCTACGCCCATGGCCATGCAGACTGAAAAATTTAATACGTATGCGAGCAGGCTACCCATAGCAAAGACAGATAAGTAGTTTATGTTTGGTATTGTATTCTATTCTATTCTATTCTATTCTACTTACTGGGGTTTCTTTCGCTTTAAGCGATTCCACTCCAGTTATAAAATGAATTCATCGGCGAAGGTAAAGTATTTCAATTTCCGAAAATCAAAGGGTGCAGAACGTGATATTCTTGACTTGCAACCAATCTCCTCCTGGTACACCCCAGACAATGTTCATTGATAAAATCACAAAATGGACATGACATGGTATATCTATTCTGTGATAAAATATTCTTTTGTGCCGTGCCACCTGCATGGCGGCTGACGTGCAAGTCAAGAATAGAGAAAATGTAAAAATCAGTCCAGTCCAACTGTCCAGTCCAGTCCAACTGTCCAGTCCAACAGTCCAGTCCAACTGTCCAGTCCAGTCCATGTTTTGTACTATGCCATTTCTAATTCGTTGGGGTTTATTTGAATAGATGTGGTTATAATATGTGGTAAATGCATTTGTTGACATTTCGCTCTAAGCCAATCAGAATGCGTAATTGGTTACTATTTCCGGTAAAACATACATTTGAACAGAAAATTTAGTAAAACATCGTGCGGGTGAGGATTTTTTATTTTTTCATTGGATTTAACGTGACAAGGTAAAATAAGACATTTTATAAAAATTTGCCGCTGGAATTTGCGTTTTATTGCCTAGTTTTAAAATTATCGGCATGCATTCGAACAGCGGCGTACTGAAAAAGCGCATTCAAATGCCGATAATTTTAGAACTATAGGCATTAAAACGCAAACACAGCTGCAAAAATCCTGACCCCTCAAAGCTTTATTTAAGACCCTAAGTTTTCTGTTCAAATGTATGTTTTTACCGGAAGTGAGCTTTCTGTGCTCGCAGGGAAACTACCCACAGTATACCAATAGACAATTCAAGCTATCGATTAATTTTTTATCTAGACAAGAAATCTATCATTGTAGCTCAAAAGAGCATCCTAAAATTAGTAACATTCAAAGTTTAATTGGTTGCGAAATGTTCATAAAATACGGAAAATATAGCCATGTGAAATTAGCGAATTTTCACTAGTATTTTAGTATTACGCGCAGTAAAAATAACTCAAAAATGTCTAGATAAAAAATTAGTTGATAGCTGGAATTGTCTATTAGGCATTCTGATTGGCTTAGAGTGAAATTGTCAACAAATGCGCTGATTGGTCGAGAACGAAATTCCCTCTTGTTGCTTGCACGTGATCAAATAGGCACACATTATTGGACAGTTTGCAAAATGAAATTTTATGAGTATTGTGTATGTAAGCTACATAGTACATGCATTTATATACAGCTATTTCAATTAAGGTTGTCCACGAGCAAAGCGGAAAAGTCGAATACGAGCGCGAAAGGCTGCTGGGAATCGCTTTGAAAATTCATTAATTTGTTAGCGATTTCCAGCAGCCTTTCGCGCTCGTATTCGACTTTTCCGCTTTGCTCGTGGACAACCTTAATTGAAATAGCTGTATATGTACGATATACAGCTAACTGCAAAACCAGACAAAGAAAAATTCCGCTCGGCACGCAAAATTCCGCTACTGGAAAACCGACTTTCATGCATGCGCATACAGCCAATATTTACGATGGAGAGGAGAGCGTTCCATTGTGATTTTGCGTTTAGAGTTTAAGGTTAAAAGTTTCGAAGGCCACCTTTTTGAGTTAAAATACAAGAAGTGACAGGAATAAGATGCATATATCCCGAGTTGGCCCGTTTAACCAAGATCCAAGTGGGAAGTGGCCCGCTTCGTATATTTATTGTCTCTTGTTTCAATGAGAACCGGGCTGGCTCATCTTGGCCGGGACCGAGGTTGTCCGAGTTGACGTGTCATGCAGCAAAGCGGGGAGGGGCTGAAAAGTCCGACACACGTATACGGTTTTAATTTTGAAGATGTATACAAGTATAGGTTAAAAATCTCGAACTAGCCGATGAAAATGTTTTTGACTTTGTGTTTGAATAAACTCTTTAAAGTTTCGGACAGTGAGTACAATTAGCGAATACAAGCCTACGACAGAGAATATACTAACAAGCGAATAAAGCTACGGATACACGCGTACGGGCAATATTTTTCTGGCGATGGCAATGCAATGGTGGTAAAATCGTTGCATTGCCGTCGCGAGAAAGAAATTGCTTGTGTATCATGCTCTGCGACGGCAACGCAAAGCTGCGCGCAATCGTTGCCGAAATTTCAAATCATTTGATTTTCGGCAATGATTGCCGAAAATTGGGAGGTGTGGTCAAGGAAGGTCAAGGTTGATGAATAACACGTTTCTTGACCAGCCAATGAAAAGCGTTATGAAGACATATATTGCAGGTGAAATATTGCAGGTGTAGCCACCTTGTGCGACGGCAACGCAATGCTGTTATCACCCATTGCGTAACCATCGCAGCAAAAATATTGCTCGTGTATCCGAAGCTTAACACCTGTTGGGGGCTGCTGATTGCAGTGATTATAATTACATAGTAGGCCAATTACCATTCTATACTATAGCTAGCCTACGTGAGGAAATTCTAAAAAATAATATACAATAACACATTCGAGGAATGAGGTGGAATCCTTATTATTGCAATAGTCAATGGTAATGGTATATTATTTAGTATAGTATTATTTATGATCAAAACACACACAAATTCGTCAAAGAACTTAGGCCTACTAGTGTAATTGTTTTGGTGTGTAAACTAGTGTAAACGTTATATCGCAGCCAAAAATGTGAAACAAGTTATTGAAATAAATTGGTTTCCCACATAAACAAAACAATTTCGTCATGCAAACCAACAAGAAACTTATACATGCATGTGAGCATAGCGTATATTATACATGCATATATTTGACAGAATAATTAATCTATAGTTAAACATTAATTGCAGTATTAGATACAAAAGACTTGCACAAATTAATCACAAATTAATTAAGGATATATTGTTTGCAAAAGGTTAAGCATAACGAAGGTGACGGAAGGTCCACTATATACATTATTAGGTTCTTAAATCCCAAATCCCGCGTCCTCATGCAATCTTTTTGCTATACCCCGCACGTTTTCCATAAAAATCCCGGCCCCCACCATTTTTTGTCACTTAAGCATCACGGCATCTACCCTGGATTCCAGAGCCTTCGACAGTAAATAATAAATTGAAATGTCGCGAAGGCCTTCGCGACATTTCAATTTATTATTTACTGTCGAAGGCTCTGGAATCCAGGGTACACGGCGTCCCACAGAATCTATTGTAGTATTGAGCAGGTTTGTTTTAGATATTCTTATTCTGAGTAGCTACACACCGGGCAAGCTGAACTGATTGCTTGATCTATGTGGACTATGCTGATTCAGAGTGGCGCCATCTGACTATAATACATTACTTCACATGGGTCCAAATGCCATGATTAGATCTATTGAGTATTGTGCATTTATTGTCATACTCATAGTGGTAACTAATCTGTTAGTATTAGTAAAATTTTAAACCCTGCATGTGCCATAAAGCGCAAGCGTCAGTCCAACATCTTCATTCCATGTTTAGAAAATAAATTGCTTTTGATTATATATATTCGCTATAGCAGCGGGAAAGCTATGTATATATGTTAGTGATATTTGGCATGGGAACCAACAAATTGCGATTGGTAATTACATTATTGTATTTATATTGATTATTGTCTATTGAAGCAAAGGTCAAAAAGAGCATATATAAGTAAGTTGTAAGTAGTACTTAATGACATCTTCAACGAAACATTCGCACAACAAGGTGCAGAAGAAAACCAACATGAATAAACTTCTTGTGCTGTTTGTTTTCTGTGCCATGACAGGTAAGTTTGTTATACTTTCTTTACCTGGCTCTGCTTTTTCCAATTTCTATATGCCGGTCCCATGTGATTGCATGCACTATTGCACTCACAATGAATTAAATGATCCACGATTCCGCATATGAAATTCTCAGTTACAAAAAGTTAAATTAATGCAATGAAGACATCTCATTTATTTCAATCAATTCTTTGCTACAAAATATAGACAACTGACAAGAATGTTTGTGCGAAAACAATTTCTTAGAATTTCTCATCGCTTAATGTGCTTTATAGCTTTCCTAAAAAATTTCAGTCACAATGCAAACGACCTAATTGTCAGGATTATAATAGTTGTGTTGTATTGTCAGCATTAAAATTGTTGTGTTGTATTGTCAGCATTAAAATAGTTGTGTTGACATCTGGTAATAACAACTGTAGTAAGTTCTTTGTATGTTTGCATGGCGATAAAATATAATAGTTTTGTTTGTGGAAACACTACGTAAATTTATTACTGCAAAAATTACTTATTTTTTTATGCAGTAATAAATTTACGTGGTGTTTCCACAAACAACAACTGTAGTGTTGAGAACAAACCGTCTCATGCCATAAATCCATTAGCTAAATATCAAAAGAAAGTTTAATATATGGTTCGAGCAAAAACACCTGTACAGAATGCAGGGCCGTAGGAAGCTCTTTTCGATTGGGGGGGCTGAAAGCGAGGGCCGAAGGCCCGAGGAAATTTTTAAATTTAGAGTCTCTAAAATGCCATTTCCTGGACTTTGGGGGAAGATTTAACAGAATTCTGATAGTCAGAAAACAGCGTTTTCGTATGTCGAAATTTACAGGAAAGTATGGGCCAGACTGTAGTATTATAAATGCGCGGCGGGAATTTTCGTCGTAAATGGCAGTTGCGCGGAAATGAAGGCAGAACATTTGAGAAAATTTCGAAAATCTGGAGTCTCTAGATGGTCTGAAATGGCATTTTCAGAGTTTTCTTTCGCAAGACCCAACACGCAAAAGACAAAATAAATCATTAGTTCATCAAAAATGTGCAGATTTTGTGGGATTTTCTTGAAAATGCGCGACAGAAATTCAGCTAAAATTTCTACGCGAGGAACGATCTGGAGTATGAGTAATATCTTCATTCTTTGCAGTTTGTCACAGATTAAATGATAAAGTTTGCATGATTTTGAAAAAAGAATGATTATTAGCAAATTATTGGGGGGGCTGCAGCTCCCCCAGCCCCCCCGGTTGCTACGGCCCTGGAATGTTACTTAAAGAACATGCCTTTTTATTCTGTTATGCTTTACTGTACTAAAGTATAGCTTTTAACTTTAAATACGCAAATATTGGTGCTTAATTATTTTGGCGACGAAACTGAATAAAGGGATAACCTTTTGACATCTAGCTTTTTCTGGTCATGTATCAAATATCATGTGTAGATGACGATTGCAAGTGTTGATTGCATGCAAGTGTTGCAAAAAGCTAGCAAAATATTAAAGGCAAAATAACAAACTAATTAGTATTAGCGTCGTGTAACAAATGCGTTGGTAATTTGTTGAGGGAAGGATTTCTATATTTAGAGGCTGGGTACGAGGTTGATTTAGAGGCTGACTGCATATATTTCATTTCATGCAATATAGGTGGTACAATCACTGCTCAACACTCTAAGTGTGATGTTAGAATGGTCAAAAGAGGATGTTTCAAGGATACAGGAGCAAGAAAAGCGGATAACAACAATCGGCCATTGAATGAATACCTTCACAGCTTCAAGAAAAAAATCAACTGGGTTGCCGGATGGAACAACTACCTTCATGAAACTGCATGCGAGTAAGTAAAAAATAACAGTCTCAGTAACAGCGCTGCTCAGATGTTGAACTCAAAATATTCTATTCAGTACTTTTGATAGGCAAAAGGAGGCCCCTGAAATGCAGTTGGGGCGCCAAAATCACCAAGAAGGGATTAGTATTAAAATTCTAATTAAAATTCCTATTCATGACCATATTACATTTTCCCCGAGCCGACGGCACGAAGCGCCGTGCGAGGGTACTAATTCCCCCCGGCTATTTACACCCGGGGAAACGAAAGCATTAGCGAAGTCTAAAGTTCATCAATGATCGCGGGCGTGGCTCACCAACGATGGGTGGTCATCCTCACTGATCTCAAAAATATGGCGGACTGTCATGAATAGCGGACACTGATTGGTCCAATTTAAAGTTTGCATTATACAGCTCGATCTCTTCCGAAAATTAAGGCTATGTCTTAATTGTAAAAAGCGTTCAAATTAAGGCATTGCCTTAATTTTAAACCTAACCCCCACCCTAACCTCTAACCCTAATCTAATCTTAATCTAACCCTAATCCAATCCAAATCTGGCGACCGCCCCTGCGCGTCCAGCCTCCCTTCTAGGGCCATTACTTTTATAGTAAGAAACCTTGCCTAATGATTGTGGTATTGTTAAATTAAGGCTATGCCTTAATTTTGGAAAAGTTTTACAATTAAGACATAGCCTTAATTTTGAGAAGAGATCATGTTGCATTATAACGACTGCATGACGACAGCGAAATAGCAAACATTTCTTGATTTGATGATTGATACATTTCTTGCAAATATATTTCATTTTTGCTCGCATTTTTGCAAGATTTTGTAAATTCCAAAAGCTTTCTCAGAAAGAAAGGGCGAAAGAATCGGCTAAAAGAAGGAGCCGACGTTAACGAAGGTAAGTTTGTTTTAAATATTAATTTATAATTGCTTTTAATAAAACCCGACGGCCTTTACGTATATGAAACAACTAAACAAGACAGCATATAATTTCAGTGTATCTTTAATATTGATTCCCTTTTTTATTATATTGAATTTTTTAAATAAATAAAAAGAAAGCAAAGTTATTTGCATGCTAGAATTTGAAATCATTTTATTGCAAACTCAAAGTTTATCGATAAGGCCAATGAAAATTGATATCATGTTTCTCGTCCCCGCCCGCATGGGATTTATCTGCCGCACGAAAATTTTTCATTATTTTTGAAAAATAGGCTTAACAAGGCACCAAATTGATCTCCAAATCAAAGTCTTATTGCTGCATTCCACAAGCGCAACTCAAATTGTATCTTTCTAAAGATATTACTCGCCAGAATGCCTCTATTTTTCATGTCAGCCCTGGTATGTATAGAAATATACCGTAGAGTAGGACGTATTAAATTAAAATGAATTATACGGAGGGTTTAAACTGCAGGTTGCAGGTGTGCAGGTGCAGGTTGCAGGTGTGCAGGTCAATGGGTGCAGGTTGCAGGTGTGCAGGTTGCAGGTTGCAGGTGTGATATTCTAGTACAAGATCAAAACTTGACATTCATAAAAAAGTGTGAAGCACGCATAAAATTTTATCTTAGCTAAGTTTGAATTCTCTTTTATAATTGATTTTGTCACTCTTTGCGAGAAACGTCCGCCATATTTAATTCTTAGGTCAAAAACACCTGATATCTTAGGTCAAAAACACCTGTGATCACATGTTTTGGCAGTATGGGGAAAACTATTGATACTATGGGATATCAGGTGTTTTTGAGATAAGAATTAAATATGGCGGACGTTTCTCACAAAGAGTGACAAAATCAATTATAAAAAAGAATTCAAACTTAGCTAAGATAAAATTATATGCGTGCTTCACACTTTTTCATGAATGTCAAGTTTTGATCTTGTACTAGAATATCACACCTGCACACCTGCAACCTGCACCGGCACACCTGCACTTGCAACCTGCACCTGCAACCTGCACCTGCAACCTGCAGTTTAAACCCTCCGTGAATTATACACCGATTTACTTCAGATTTTTATGGGGTTTTTTACTGGGTCAAGGAAATTATTGACAAGCAGAATTCAAATAGAAAAAATAATGAAATATGAAAAATGAAAAAATCCCGCTCCAAATTTTTGAAAATTGTGGACGAGAAACATGATATCAATTTTCATTGGCCTAAAGCCTTTTAATTAAAGGCAGTTTAGTTTTATAAAGAACACTTAAAAAACGTTTTGCGAAGCCTTTGTGGTTGAATTTTACCTTAAATTGAAGCTTATATTACGTATAATATATCATACCTAACATATATGTTGGGAAATTGATAATTTTGTAATTAAAAGTGATATTTTGAGGCAATTTTTCGTTTGTAAGAATATTCTTAAAAAATTATCGTGTTACCATGACAATTACTTTAGATACTTCATGTTCGGAAAATGCAATGGTTTTGTCAGCAAGGCGAGGGTTTCTGCATGTATGTATTTTCTAATTAGTATATATAGTTCAATTACAAGCTAGGCGAACAATGGTAATTGATAATGGCTCTGAATAATGTTAAAACACTGGGTCATCGCCATGCATGCCAAATTAGTATGGATTTGAATCTGCATGTGCATGCTCTCCCCGTTGGCATTGAGGTAAATGTGTTGTCGTAGGCATGCATGCATGCATGCATGCATGCAGATTCAACTTAGGCATGCATGATACAATTTTCTCGCTCTTATTTAAGAATGTTCCCTTGTGGTTTTAAATATATGCTAACTTAGTTATCTGACGGAAAATAAAACAATTTCTTGACCTTGTGTTTTAGTTGTGCTAAATTAGCTAAAGGCTTGGGTTATCGTTATATTGGTATCCAAGCATATGGAGAATGCTGGTCAGGTGATCCAACAGCAGATTTGTTTAAATATCGAGCAATCGATCCACACAAATGCTGGGGTTTTAAACCCAATTATTCAAAATGTGATGACGAAGCAGAAACAGAATGCATAGGAACCCCAGAATACAATTATGTCTACGAACTTTACCTTACTGGTAGCAAAGGTAGGTGCAGATTTGCACTGTACTTTTCAAGAACAATAAAATACATGGTGAAGTAATAAAATACATTGCGTAGAATTTCCGAAGTAGAGCGGTCAACAAGTTTTCCCAAGGTTTATTGGTTACTTAATTAGCCTTTTGTGATTGGTGTATCTTTGGTGAACACCGTTGACTTTTGAAGGAAAGGCAAAACGAGCTGCTTCGATCATTGTCTTCATTATATAATTGGACTTTTCAGGGTGTCCCGGCGAAAATGTAAAAGGTATGTTCCAGATTTTTACACAGCTAATTATTAGTGGGTATATCGAAAACTTAATCTAAGACTAAGATATGAATTTTGATACTAAGATTAATAAAATTGGTCTTGTAGAACCAATGTTATGGCTGTTTAAAATAAAGTCTGGTCCACCCAACGCCAATGGACCAATAAAATCATACATCAATGGACCATTTACATTATAGACTAAATTTTGGTCTAGACGAAAATTTCATCACAGCTTGAAAGAGCATCACAAAATTAGTAACATTCCAAAGTTTCGTTGCGAAATGTTGTAAAATGCGGATAATATAGCCTTGCGAAGTTTGCAATTTTCAGTCATTTTGTATTACAAACGGGAAATTGATGCCCCAGCACCCGATTGAGCTGTCAATTTTCCGTGCGTAGTACAAAATGACTGAAAACCGGCAAACTTCGCAAGGCTATATTATCCTCATTTTACAACATTTCGCAACGAAACTTTGGAATATTACTAATTGTGTGATGCTCTTTCAAGCTGTGATGAAATTTTTGTCTACACTTGTCTAGATCAAAATTTAGTCTATAATGCAAATGGTCCATTGTGTAACGTATCAATGTAGCCATGTATAGGTTTGATGACCCCTTACTACAGCCATGCAACATTGGTTCTAACCAATTTTAGTAATGTCAAAATTCATCTCTTAGGTTAAATTTTCGATGCTCACGAATAGTTAGTTGTATAAAAATCTGGAACATAGCTACCACATTTTGTTCGGATACTCCCTGTATATATTGTCAACTGTTAAATATAGGTGCTTATTTGAACGTAAAACTATATCTTATGCTCTGCGCATGCAACAGCGCAACCGGCAGACCTAAGGCCCTACATTTCCCGACTGGTATTCTTTCTGAAATCGCTCATAGCAGTTGATTAATTAAATGATTCATCGACGCCCTCCATGCAGCTGCTACAAAAGCAGTAAAAACAGCAGGCTATACCACAGTTTACAGATTGTGGCGTAAGGCTACAGGAGTGGAAAACCTTTTTAAAATCTAGCAAAAATGATGCTATATGTTATCTGGCAAATAATAATATTCCATTTTCTATTTGTTTTATTTTATTTTAGAATCGCCATGTTCGTCTTTGCCATGTTATAATGGAGGAAATTGTACTGAAGTCGGAGATTCTTTTGTTTGTAAATGTGCTTGTGGATACAAGGGAAAACAATGTGAAATGAAAGGTATACGTATAACTTCCTGTTTGAAATTATTTAAAGAATTATTATTTTAAAGCGCACATTTCATCTTAGTTACCTTAATTTGCACCAGACTAATCTTATGGCTCCCCTACGTAAAAATTTGGTAAAGTACTATTTTTAAAACATTTAAAAATGTTTTAAAATTAGATTGTCTTAAATCATAACTTTATAACTGTTTATGTGATTTGGTGTCCAAGCCGAATCCACTCATTTAGCTTTTTCAACCTAGTAAATATTACTGATAAGTGCATGCATGTAATCACTTTCTGAAACCTTTTTGGGAAAAGATGACAAAATATGAATATATATAGTGATCATGGTTGACCATATTAACAAAAATATTTCTATAAAGTGGTAAATTTTAAAGTGAAGTACTTTTCTATGTTGAAACTTGAAATAACTTCATTTGAATACAAATAATTTGAAATTTTGCTTTTTATTATTTTGAAGTAGGGTTGAGTGATTCAACGAGACAATGTCATTGCATGGATGATTATATTATATCAAAAGTTAATGGTTTTCGCTGTTACTGTGCACAAGTTTATGTGAAAATAAAAATATGGGACAAATTTTTCGGCCCATTCGATTGATCGATTATGGATTGATTGACCATGTCCATGTCTCCTTTACCGCTCTCCTTACCAGATAAAATATAATATTCTTACTTTGGTTTTCATTTTCAAGTATCACCATGTGCCTCAGCCCCATGTATGAACAATGGTAATTGTACAAATGTTGGAAATTCGTTCCTATGTAAATGTCCATGTGGCTTCAAGGGAACACGTTGCGAGAAAGATGGTTTGTATAATTTTATTTGAAACAAATACAGCAAGGGCGATCTTGTTGTAAACAATATATATAACATTATATATATATATATATATATATATATATATATATATATATATATATATATATATATATATATATATATATATATATATATATATATATATTATTAGCTTGTGATTCTTCTTGATGTGAACGCTCGTATTCCTCAATTATAATTCTTAAGGCATGAATATTTTTTGGCTTCTTTTCCTTTATGTAAATCATTATCCGATTTACAAGCTATATCTTTTTCTAATATTTTTAAAACGTGTTATTATAAACGTTTCGGACCTTTTCAAACGTGTGTATGGTGTATTTAATTTTTTCCTCAAAAATCTTAGTAATTTTGAACTTAAATAATTTTAATATTATTTTCAGTGCGTCCATGTGCTTCATCACCGTGCGTAAATGGTGGAGAATGTAAAAATCTTAAAAAATCTTACCAATGTAAATGTCCAGCTGGACACAAAGGAAAAAGATGTCAGATTAAAGGTAAGTTTAATGTATACGTGACATTGAAAAACTTGATTTACAATTGCGAGTGCAATAATTATTGACGTACAAATGAAAGCAACGGGGGTTAATGTTCCTAACAATATTTTAAGAAGCCCATGAGATTATCATTAATTGGACTCCATAATTTATAATTATATATTTATTGGAAATTTTATAATTCAGTAAGCCAATCAATTTTAAAGAAATTGAGCAAAATTGAGCAAAATAAACTCAAATCTTTGTGTCCATACTCTGCCGACTTGACTGCCTAGGATAATAATTTTTCACAAAAAATTATGGGCATATTAGGAACAAGGTTTCTGCGAAACTTGGTGAAAATGCCAACAAAAGTCACTTTGAAGCGACAGGTAAATTCATACATTGTATTGATGATGTTTGAATGCACAAACCCGCACCAAACTCTATATAAAGTATCAATTACTAATAAAGCCTATAGAGCGTTTGCACATGACGTCACAGCTGCCATGTTGGTGTTCCAATTCAAAAGAATTTTAATTAGACTCTTTTGTCTGGAACACCAACATGGTCGCCATAACAGGTGGGAAATTTGTCTGAGCATGCGCGAGCAAAATGAGTCACGCAATTGAGTGGAATACACTCAACGCGTGTTTACAAAAAGGCACAATCGTGTATAAATATTGCCAAATGTTTGTACAAAATAAATGACTGTTTTATGTTGAAAATGGACATGATCTAAATTTATCATACAGAATTTTTTAGTGACGTTCTATTTCAGTACCCTGCCATTGTCTCTGGTGGGCTGTCCGTGTGCATTCGATCTGAAACAGTTGCTACTTTGCTGTCGAAAAATTTCGAATGTTTACATGAAAATAGAGGCAAGTCATGCATTTTACAACCTCGTAAACTGTATGAGCCCCTACATATTTTCAAAATTTGTCAAATTTCGCGAGCTTGTATTTTGAACTTAGACAGCTGAAGTTACATTAAGAAACATAGGATGGAAAATTTGAGGCATATAAAGTTAATTTCAACTTACATTTCATTCTCATATCACGTCTTTCTTCGTTTATTACGGTTTTAGACAAGCCACAGATCGACGTATACGGTATTTACTCCCATGTTTACGTCGCCATATTAACTTCTTCCAATCACTCGATTACAAAACAAATCATCCCAAAACAAAGAATTCATAGTCAACAATTAAAAGAATAACCGTTAATTTGTAAATCGTTGAATGGAAAGCAAAAAATAGTCAGCTAAAACAGCTTCTTGCTAACTTTCTGCTTTGGTTTGAATGTACTGATGCAATGAGCTTTGTTTCTGCCCGCGATTTTTTGGTCAACGACGACAAATTTCCCACCTGTTGGTCGCCATGACTTTTGTTGAGTTGCATGGTCCCTGGGGAATAAGTCATATATGAGTGCAAACGCTCTATTATTATACGGTGTGGTCACTATACGTGCTTTCAGTTAAATATTTAAATATGGAATTAGCTTACAGCTAAATATGGAAATCACGCCACATACACATATCTGCTAGCAGATATAAACACTGTTACCTGTAGGTTGAGACAGCGGTATGTAATTTTATATAGCAAGCGGCAGTGAAATAAAGTTTTTGTGCAAAAAACAGACCTTTTTGGCATTTTTACTAATATTTGACATTTTATGCTGTTATTGTGATATTTTAAATCGTTTTTAGCTACAGCTTTTTTTGAGAATCAAACGTTCATTCGAACCAAATCATTGCTTGTCGAAAGAGTTAATGAAAATGCAATGTATAATAAAACAGTTATTATCAAGTTAGCTCGCCCAAGGCTCAACTGATAACATGCACTGACTTACGTCGGCCCTTGATCTGAATTCTGGATATCACACAATCTTCATCCAATAACTGTTTATTATTACGCATATATCTGCATAGAAATGAAAAGAATACCTAACTGTCGGTATGAGTTTATATGAAAGAAGCATCCGCTGGTCATCTCAATTTGCGACTCTCAACTAAACTTGTTTACATAACTTTCATGTATGATCATTTTATAGAATCCCCATGTGCGTCAGGACCGTGCAGAAATGGTGGTCGATGTCATCAACTAGCTGCTTCATTCCGTTGTCGTTGTCGACCGAGATATAAAGGAAATCTCTGCGAAATAAAAGGTAAATTAAGTGACGTGATAAGAAGCACAGCATGAGAGTTAGTGAACAACATCACCGAAATCACCGAAATTCGGTGGGAAATCACCGAATTGACCAATTGTAATTGTCTTTTAAGACAAAAACATTTAATAATAACAAGCTAATTACCAAGGCTAGTCCAACTATAATCTATAAATACATGAACATTTAACTTTATTGACAAATTGAAATTGTCTTAAATATCACTGAAGCTAATTACCAAGGGTCCAACTCATAAACATATATCGCATTATGTGGTATATTTTACACTTCGCAGACGTTTCAAAATGAAATATACTCATTTCTCCCTATATATATATTATGAAAACCATTGCCATATTATTCATACCTACAACACCCTTTTAAATTTCTAATATTTATACCTTATTCCTCCCAGTTTGCAGTTTTTTTAACCTTCTGCAAAACAACACGATATTACACGCAAAATGTATAAATACATGCATGAACATTTAACTTTATGTTAATTCTGACAACAATAACACTAATTAATTAAAATGCACTTCTCAATAATATTCTGTTTTGATTGGTTAACATGCATTTCCGAAATAATATTCTGATTGGCTGCAGGTCTACAGATAATCAGCGGAGCGTCCGTAGGAATAACGAAATTGCTACAGGCGACACAAAGTACATATATGTTTTTTACAGCTCTGACGTCATTGTTACAAATAATACAGCAATATTATTTATCGTACTGGCTCAAAAAATTAATATGGAGACTTCAACTTCAGGGAAAACGACGTAAACTGTTCAACATGCATGACTGCAAATTTAATGTTTAGTTCTCATTTTTCACATATTTAACTAGATTTTAGGTTTTGAACTGAGAGATTGTTAACACTAGATAGTCGTTTATTTTATTGTACTTGTTTTTCCCTGTTATTTTACCATTTTATTTGTATAATGGTTACTTTACTATGATTTTTATAATGGTTTATTACTTTTATGTATGTTTTATTATGTTTTATTATTCCTCAGTATAGCAGTTACTATTGTCCCTGTGACAATAACTGACGAATTTAATAATTATATAATCGCCAAAAGAGGCGCCCACAAACTATAGGTAACACATGCGCCTCGGCCATGCTTGATGTCCTTCACACTCTATCACCATGCAGGATCAATCTCGCTTCCAGGCTTTCCCCTCTTGTCAGTTGCAGTCTGACGTTTATACAAAACCATTTGCTGTTTCACTTGTGGAATGTTATATGACTAAATTACATGATCAACAACATTCAAGAGTTATGATACTCAAGGGTAGGAGCTTTTCTTTGAAAAAAACCAACTTATAGACTAGTTAAATTTTTAACTTGTTATTGATAACCCACCTTATACCATCATGTAGTATCTATACGTATTAATTGCTGCCACAGATAAAGCATTATAATTCATTTATCTAGTCACACCATGCTCGTCTGGTCCATGCCAAAATGGCGCTACATGTAAAGACAAAGGGAAAACTTTCAAATGCTTGTGTTCACCAGGATATAATGGGAAAAAATGCCATATAAAAAGTAAGTTTTTATTCATTTTAAAATAAATAAATCATTATTATAACTGGAATTACATCAGCAACCCCTCACCTTTTCTTTAAACAGAATAAATATAATTCCAAAATATTGCTTCAAGACGAAGTCTTTTATAATTGAAAACATTGTGGTTGCCTTGGTTAACATGAAATCATGCATGTATATATATTGTACAAATGTGCAAATGGCAAAAAATTGAAAAAGAACAATAGCTATATATACGTTTACAGACTCATCGATTTTCAAAATCTATATAAATAGAGTTTGGCAAGCGAGGTTGATCGACTAGCACTATCGTACAATATGGACAATATGGAGTAACCAATTAATGTGAACAAATCTTCAAACTAGTTCATTTCTTAAATAGGGTTATAACCATTTCCACATTGGAAATTACTCCGTAACTCGAAATAGTTTTACTTAACTGACAGAGTTTCTATTGTAATGTATATGATCAAAATGCTCGGTATAATAACCAAACAAATATCTTTGTTAGAACCACCATGTTATTCTTCGCCATGCAAAGAAGGAATTTGTGAGAACGATGGAGATTCTTTCAAATGTTCTTGTCGTCCTGGATATAAAGGAAAGATATGCGAGGAGTTAGGTAAATAGTGCAGGCGTTTGTTTGGGAGAGTTTGGGGAGAACTGTGGGCTAATGTTTTGTCTCACAATTCCATTTTCTCTATGGAAACCATGCATGTTCAAGGACTTCATGTATCTTTTTGTAATTATAATTTTATAAATAAATTTGCATGCATGTATATGAACAAAAACAAGCAAAATATATACACCGCGATTCTTATACCCTTCAACAAAACTGTAATGAGTTCTTTAAGTTTGAATTTCAACGCGTTTCGCAAGTATATATCAGCCCACCATTACCCTAATATATTGGGGTAGCCAAGCAGGATACTTTTACTATTTATGGTACAGCAGTTTATTTACACTCCTATATAATACTTAAAATTTAATGAGAGGCTAAAGCGAAAATATAATTTAATCTAGAGTCTCCTTGCGTATCTGAACCATGTAAAAATGGAGGAGAATGCTCAAATGTTGGAGATTCCTTCGACTGTAAATGCCCTTCTGGTTATGAAGGAAAACGATGTCAGAATAAAGGTATTAAAAGGATGTTCTATATATATCTTACTATGCATGTATATATGTGTGTACATGCATGCAGAAGTCCAGTGCCGTCGGAAGCAGTACTATTGGAGTGGCGGTATATGGGGAGGGGTCTCAACCAAGCTGGCTCTGGGGGCATGCATGCTCCCCAGAAAACGTTTGCGTTTCCAAAGGCAAAGCCTCGGAAGAGCGTTTTTCGTATTTCCTAAGAGGAATGTTTAAAAATTCAAGATTGTATAATGCACTTTATTACTTCTTACAACTTTACTCATCTTGTTTTGAAACGACGTTTGCTCTGTATGCAATCAGGAGATACAAGATCTAAATATATATAATTCTCAATCATTATATGGCATGGAAACCATCTGCAAAAGGTCGCAATATGCAGCATTTTGATCGGTTCTTGAGCGGTAGGTAACTTGTAGTATACGCACCGCTCATTGATCTCACCGTATGATGGAACTTAAATACTCTTTCCCCTGCAGTAAAAAAGACATCCTATACACATTGTATGAATACTATATTCGATATGGAGTAGCCGTAATGGTTAAGCGAAATAGTTGGCACAAAAGACAGCAAATTCAGCCACGTACAAATAACTTTCTGTCGTTAGTTTGGAATATCACGAAACTTCCTCACAGGATAGAACTTGCCATTCCTAAAAATCCTATGGTTTTTGTTTTTCGATTTTGTTACATTTTGGCGGGAAAATGACGTGCCAACTTTGGCGCCAAAAAATTAAACACGAGCTAAGAACATGCTAGGAACTTTTTTGAAGAGATTGTCCTATAAGGATCTCAGAACTGTGAAAACATTGTAAATACGCCAAAGCAGGGCAAAGATATGGTGCTTAAAATTCTGAAAAAACCGCCATTTTGTTACTAAAAATAGATTTTTTTCGAATTTTGAATCGCCATATCTTCGCACTGCCTTGTTGTATTTTTAATGTTTTTACAGTTTTGAGATCCTTATAGGACAATCTCTTCACAAAAGTTACTAGCAGGTTCTTAGCTCGTGTTTAATTTTTTGGCGGCAAAGTTGGCACGTCATTTTCCCGCCAAAATCGAAAAACGGAAACGATAGGATTTTTAGGAATTGCAAGTTCTATCCTGTGAGGAAGTCTCGTGATATTCCAAACTAACGACAGAAAGTTATTTGTACGTGGCCGAATTAGCTGTCTTTTGTGCCCACCGTAATTGTTCGGATAATATAGTGATTTAAGTAAGAAGTGTAAAAGGTATTTATTATAGTAAGCCAAGGATGTCCAAAATTATTAGTTGCATTGATAAGGGAATTAAGAGATAATAATTTAATTTGCGACAGAATTTACTCTATGGGGCCCCAAGCATCTCACAAATCATAGACCGGCTACTATATAGTAAACATATGCACTTGATTTCTACACGTGACTGCCTACATGCAGAAGACCAAAAAATCCTAAGGACCATCTAAATTTGGTAAGAAGCGACGTTGTTTCAAGTGTAAGCGAAAATGTGTAATAGGCCTAATTGATGTGATAATTTCTTGAAAGATTATTGCTGCGGAGCGAGCGAGCCTGAAGCGAGCGAGCGTAGCAGCAGCCTAATATGTGCAAAGAGGGTTTTTTTAACTAAATTTCATTTAGCGCATGGAATTGTGGTCGTGCGCGCTTTCTATGCGCAGAACAAAAATATTAAACTCGCTCGAGTCTTCGAATTTTTATCGAATTTCTAAAGCTTTTTCAAGTCTAATGTTACGCCTACATTTGTTTTGGACTTTGGCCACTGCCGTCAGTTCTATATTTTTATAAAGTTTTGGTTTCTTAGTGTGATAAATCTGTGTATATAGTCTATATAATGTGGCAAATGCGCCTACGGCAGTGAACAGACTTGATATGAAATCTTAATTTACCTGTATGTCAATGAGACGCACATGTTTAATATGTGTCACCAGGGCCGCCGAGAGGTTGGCGGGGGCCCGGGAAAAAATTTTTTCGGAGAACAACCTCCCCCCTGTAGTAACTTAAATACTAGTATAATAGTTCTTCAAGGAAGACAGCTCTTCGCTTAACGTCAGTTTTATTATATACTACGAATATTCTCAGTTTACACAAACATGCTCATGCTAATGTCATGCTAATATCATGCATAATTAATTGTACATTAGTTCCGATAAGGTTTATGATTGGTTGTTACACCCCCGTCGACAACTTTTTAGGTAAAAAAATTTTCCGGACGAGTACGTTGCAATTACGTTACAGGGACTTTATCTCAATTGTTCATGCCAAATTTCGGTACTTAGCCCAAAAAAAAGATATCTTGTGCTTTGCGCGGAAATATTTAACACACAAAAAGACTGGGGCCCAACAAAATTTTTCAGGGCCCCCCAGCACCTCGGGGCAATTTGCCCCCCCCCCCC